TGGGTTTTTTTTTTTGAGCTTCAATTTCTACTCCACATAAATCAGTTACTTTCTGTATATTGAGTTGTGAAGGAAATAAGGTTTGTTAAAACAAAAAAGCATAGAAATACACTGTGTATATTCTTTGAAAATAACCAATCAATACATTGGGATAGAATTTAGTCAAGCAGAATTCACTTTTCCTCATGACAAGTATTCCAAAAGAAGCATCAAACTTTTTTGCTAAATTTAAGCACTTAAAAAGGGGGTCCAGAAAAAGACAGCTTTTCTTTTTCCTTACCCCCCCATCAAGATAGGGACCTAGATCTTGAGCAACTTGCCAAACTAGAAATCCAGACTCCCAACAGTGTCTCCCAGTCTACTTTCTCCTCTGAGCCTTTCTAAATTCCCCACTCATTGTCTTTTTTTCTCCTTTCATTTCCTTCTACCTTCTTGAAAAATGGATTTACAATGACACAAAATCATACTGTATCATGAACACTATGGTAAACTCTCTAATCTCCCACCCCGCCTATCTAATTCTTAATCCTCGAAGTGAGTATGTAACCTTCCGCAGTAAAAGAGACTTTGCAAATGTGATTAGATTAAGGATCTTGAGAAGGTGAGATGATCCTGGATTACCCAGGTGAGCTCAATGTAACCACAAACTGCCTTGTAGGAAGGAGGCAAGAGAGCCAGAGTTAGTAATAACATATGGAAGTTAAAAAAAAAAAAATCCAAGGGAGTCAGGGAGTCAATGAGCCAAGACGTGTGTAGGCTCTGGAAACTGAAAAATCTAAGAAAACTGATTCTCTTCTTAGACCATCCATAAACAAACAAAAAAACAGCCCTACCAACACATTGACTTTGACTTATTGAGACTGATTTTGGACTACTGACCTCCAGAACTGTAAGTGTGTGTGTGTTTGTGTGTGTGTGCACTTAAGACACTAAAATTGTGATAATTTGTGATGGCTGAAGTAGGAAGAAATACAAAGAAAAACAGTTCTTGATTAAAGGAGATTCAAGAGATAAAACAAATAAATATGAACTATGACTCTGGACTTCATCCTGAACTAGAATCTCCCCCCTTTTTCTAACAAAAGAATATTAGTGAGATGATTGATAAGGCTTAAATTAGGACTGCTAATTAGATTAATAATATTGTACTATGTTAATTTTCTAATTTTGAGAACTCTGTTGGGATTGTACAGAATGTTTATGTGTTTAAAAAACAGACATGGAAATATTTAGGGATAAAGAGACAGAATGTCTGCAACTTATTCTGAGGGAGCCACCTCCCACACACAGATATTAATAAAATGTATATGTAGATATAGAATGAAAACACAAACAGGGCAACATGTTAGCTTTTGGAGAATTTGGAACATTTTAGACTTAAAATTTTTTATTATTTTACTTTAAGTCTAAAATTAATTAAAAATAAAAAGCTACATATATTGAAATCTAGATATTAGCCTCAAAGCTATGATGTTTTGAAACAGCATCAAATGCAGCGAGATCTTCTAGTGATTTCACCAGAAATTTGATTGCAACCAGCAGTTTTATGATTTTTGGCAGCCTTTACCAAGGCCTGGCAGGTCTCCTGGCCTATACTTGCACTCTGCTCATAAAAAATCCTATGCAATACTCCCCACAGCCTCCTCTGTTGCACACCTGTCAGCATGTGGGTGGGTTGTCCTCTCCTTTTCCCTGCAGATCCAGCCTTGCCAGCCTGTAAAGGTAAACTGTTTCTCACCTGCTTCTGCAAGAAAAGTGAACCTGGGTGATGAAAACAGTGGATGACATGATCCTTTTTGACTACTTAGAGAGGAAGGCTCATAGTAACTGAACCCCGTTATTAATACACAAGTCTCTTCTATCTTCAACAAACAGCATCAGTGATACTGGCCATCATTTTGGAGTCTCAGATTTGTACGTGTAGATCCCAGAGACTGCTTCTTCATTGCATTTTGTGGGCTATTAAGACAATCTGCTTTAAAACTCATTGGCTTTCTCCCCCTGCCATTCCATTGGATGCATATTGAGTAGTTACCCTCTTATTTCCAGAAAGAAATACCAGATGTGTATGATTAGGAACCACAGCGATTATAATCTAAATGAAGAACTACTGGTTTATTCCTTTACCAGGTGGCCTACATGAAATTTAACTCTGCCCTATTTCCAGCATCATCATCAACTTTTGCCTCTTAGTGGTTGACAGCTATGTCTAATTCAGTATATCCACACTGCTAGTCCTTAAAATCATTGGTATACTAAAATTTTTATTATCATCCTATGAAACTTGGTATCTCTACTCTCAGTGAATATTTTGAAGCTTTCTTTCTGATCTGAATCTGGATCAAAAGTAAATCATATATTTTAGAAAAATATTTCAGTTTGTAGAAGAACAAGGGAAACAGACAAATTAAAAAATGACAATTACCGCTCAGTAGTGTTATCAGCTACTAAATATGCTACTTACAAGCATTATCTGCATAACCTTCTGCCTGTATGACATATGAGTGAAATAGAAGTGGTTATAAAATACCTAAGTTCCAGATTCCACTAACAGTGGTCTGAAAGTTAAAACTGCACTGACTGAGATTTATAAGTTTGTAATTTTTTGGTCTGAGTGTGCACAGTTCAGGCAGCTCAACATAGAAGCTTACTTGTTTGAGGTATCAGAGGTCAGAACCTGGAACGAGATGAGCAGATTGCAATTTAGAGAGGGAAACTACAAAAGCAAGGAAACACAGAGAGGAGTATAGTTTCTGCTGAAATGCTTAAGTGATCACTGATGCTTAGTTGATCAAGCATTCCACATATGAGCCTGTTGGAGACATTTCATATTCAAACCATAGCAATATGGGGAAAAAAAGGAGTGCAAGAAAGCTGGAGTGACTAAAGATAGAACAATCATCAATGGATGTATGCCTAAAATAACAAAGCAACAAAATATACAAAACAAAAGCTTGTACAACTAAAGGAAGAAATAAAAAACACCAGCAATTGAAGAATGAACTGTCTTTTCAAGTACACAGGGAACATTCCCCAAGATATTTATATTTCAGACCATTAAAAAAAAGTCTTTACACATTTAAAAGATTAAAATCTGATAGGAAAAGTTCTGATTTCAAAAGAATTAGAAATTAATGAAAATAAGATATGTAGAGAAGTTCTAAATATTCACAAAGTTGAAAACACATGTCTAAATAATATATGTTAAGGAAAAAATTACAAGAAAAGTTTGAGAATATTTTTACCTGAATCAGGTAAACAATATGACCTGACTTGTAATGTTAGATTCTTCTAGTAATCTCACTGCTTCTTAATGGGCCCATGTACAAAGTGGCCATACCTGCAGGAACATGGGTTCTTGAACGTTCTAAAAAATGATTTCATTATTTAAAATATTTATTAGCACCTGAGTGATGATGCATTTCTTTGTTCATTATCTATAGTCAATGCAATGTAAAGTCTTTCCTTAGAGGCAAAGACTTTATTTTGTTCACTGCTGAATCCCTGGTGTCTAGAACAGCACGTCTGTGATGAAGGAAATGTTCTATTTCTGCACCATCTAATACAGTAGTCACTAACCACAGGTAGGTACTGAGCATTGGGAATGTGACTGGTTTTTAAGTTTTCATTTCATTTTAATTAATTAAATTTAATAGCTGTATATGGCTAGTGCTACCAGATTGGACAGCGTAGATATTGCCTGGTACATCATAAATGGGTACTCCATAAATTTTTCTTAAACAAATGAATAGCTACCAACCATTTATTGAATGTTAAATATTTTAGCATACCTGATGCTAACGTACCTTTTATATATAATATATGTATATTATCTCATGAAAATCTCTCAAATAAACCATGAAGGACATATCACTATCCCTGTTATACAGATGAGGACCCCAAGGCACAAAGAAGTAGTTTATCATAGCCAGTAAATAGATTGGAACCAGCACTGGGCCATTGGTAGGGACCTGATTTTGTCATAATCTTTTGATTTCTGAGCATGAGAATGGTAGTCTGTCTTCCAGGAAATGGGAACACCTTTCTAAGCTCCCTTCCTGTGCCAGATTCAGCTCTCCTGCTACCCTGACTTGTATAGGCTTTTCAACATTCCTAAAAATAAATTTCCTGAGTTGCAAGACCCACATTTCATTCTTACCTAGAGTGCTGACTATGTCAGAACAATTCTTCAAGAAAAGCTGGCTGAAAGAATAGAGGACAGATGCTTGGGTGGATAGACCAACACATACTAACATACACAAGGGAAATCATACGAGCATTTGCTGACTTTAATATTTCCCCTTCTGACTATTAAACAGACCTTTTAGAGCAGGTGTTGGGAAACCAGATAGTAAATCCTTTAGGTTTTGTTGAGTTATAGGTCACAACTAAGTCTGCTATTCTTGAATGACAGTATAGACAATATGTAAATGATAACTGTGTTCCAGTATAACATTATGGTCACCAAAATTAAAATTCCATATAATGTTCACATCTCAAAATATTCTTTTAATTTGGTAAGTCCTGGCCTAAACAGGCAAACTGACCTAGAATTTACAAGCAATGAGAAAGGCAACAAAACTGAGCTGTGAAAATCCTGGCAAGAAGGTGGGATTAGAATGTTGTTCCTTTTCTTTCAACATGCTCATTTCTTCCTCCCTTGGGTCACTGCGTATCTTTTTTTTGTGTTGCTCTTCAGAGATTGTTCTAGCCCAATGCACATATTTTTCTCATATCTCCATTGGCTTGCTCTCTCCCTCTGGGCCATTTCCACTTGAATAGAAAGCGTTTGACACTCAAAGATGTTTCATTAGTGTGAATCGATCTCCATGTGCCCACCTCATGAAATAAAATGTTGGCTTCTCTTTCCCTCACTAAAGGGACACGCTCACCATGATCCCCCAAGTTGGATGCTACCCCTGCCTTTCCCTTGCTGCCCATCAGTTGGCGCTTTTTGCTATCCTCCTTCCTCCTCCCCCCACACCCCAAGCCAGGTTTGGGGGCTGCAGTAGCTCCGCAGCTCTCAGGTCACATGGCCTGCCAGAGCGAGGGGAACCCTGCGCTGGAGCTGCGCCGTAGGAAAAGGTGAGGCTCAGGCGCACCCAAGCAATGCTGAGCCTGCTCCTCCCAAACCCTGGGGTCAGGCGATGGCGCCTCCACCCAGATCAGCCAGCCAGCCTGTCAGCCCGGGCGACACCAGCGGCGGCCTCGGCCTCCGCCGGGTAGGTTTCAGCTGCGCAGCCTTTTTGGCACGGTGGTCGGAGCACCTAGGCGCAGAAACCACAGAGCGAGGGGTGTGGGGGTCCAAGGCTGGTACCGGGAGAGGCTATGGGGTTGGGGGCAGGGGTGGATGGCGCAGCCTGGGAGGGCGTGCGCCCCCGCCTGCTGGATTCGCCGACGCCCTGCCCACTGCGCTGGCCGCTTCCTGCCAGGGGACTGCAGCGAGCGCTGCGGGGCGGTCCCCGCGCGCCAGGCCCTGCCGGCGGCAGCGCATGGTGATGCCCCTCTCCAACCCTCGTCAGCGCCGGCCGCGCTGTTGGGACAGAAGGACATGGCTGCACATGCTAGAGCCTGGGTAAGACCCCTGTCGAGCCAAGGGCCGGCCGCCTAATGGCCGCCCACGAGCCCTGGACCCTCGCCGCGCATTTCCCCTCCGGTCGGCCGGATGCGCCCAGGGCGCCACTGCAGCCTCGGTTTCTCGGATTCACCGGGGAAGGTGACCTGGCTACCGGAAGCACCCGCTGAAGGGGGTCAGCCAGGCGATGGAGACCTCGCCTTCGGGTGGGGAAACTGAGGCCCAAGGTCAGCGGCAGACGCTGGACGTGGGTCTCTGGTCTTCCATTCAGGTTCTTTCCCTGGGAGCGATAATGAGGACCCCTGGGTGGGTCTTGTCCCTTCCCTGTTATAGGCGGTGTCGCACTGCGCCCACGGTGCCGGCCTTTGCAGGTCGGTGTGACCCGGGCATCTCCTGATTCCGCCACGCTCATCCCGAGGGAGTGCAGGGTGGCTCCAATGATGATCTCACTATGCGGACCATCCGCAAAACCTGGAGGTGTGTGCGTGTGTGCGAGCATGTGTTCTTCCTCCAAGAGACCCCCCCAAACCTCGTAGAGGCAAATAATTGTTTTAGGGCTACACTTCTAGATATTTTATGAGCTGAGATGACATTATGTTGGCCTAACACCTATAAGGAGAATTACTAGAATTGTTTTTCAAGGACAAAACATTCAAGATACCCAAAAACATAAAAAAGAGAAAATGAAGATAACTTAAAATTCCATCTTCTAGATGGCTAAGATTTTCTGGATATCTTCTTAAATATTTCTCTACCTACACACATTTGAAGTTTCAGATCAATAAATAACATGAACAAAAAATGGTATCTTGTTTCAATTTGTAGGTCTTCGATTACCCGTGGGAACAATACCTATTCCTCTGTGTATTCGGCTTTGGCGTTTATGTGGGTGAATTGACTGTTAATTCTTTTGCCCATTTCTCAATTGGAGTGTCTTTCTCTTCGTTTTTAAGTATTCTTAATGTATGACACATTAAAGTAGTGATTATCTGTCTTACATGTTGTGCCAAAGAGAGAGTTCTTAGTAGTTTTTATTTCTTCTAATTCTGGATAATCTTTAGAATACTTTCATCAATATTTAAATTGTGATGTGGTTATATGGTTGCATAAATTTGACAAAACTAGTTGAAATTAAATGGTGAATTTTATTATATGTAAAGTATGCCATATAAAGTTGATTTTAGAAAAAAAAGCCAGGACAATTATGCTGGAGCCTGAGAAAGAATCTGCCCAGTTATTAAAACCTTCAATAACAAAGCGTTAGTAATTAAAATAATGTGGTGCTGGCACCAAAATACACAGAGATACAAAAATCCCACAAGGAGCTGGGCATTATAGTGCATACCTGTAATCCCAGTCCTTGAGAGACTGAGGCAGGAGGATAGAGTTCCAGGCCAACCTGCACTACATAGTAAATATACATATATATACTGTATATATGTTTGCATGCATAAATAAAATATTTTTTAAATCCTCAAGCATGCAAATATACAATAATTTAATATATCATAGCAGTAACGATTTAAATTAGTAATAAAAATTAAACATAGGCTCCCTGTCATATTCACTATCCCAGTGCCTGACACAAGATTCATTGAATTGAATGCTGAGTAAGGATCATAAAAGAAATATGTGTTTTTTGCAGAAGTTTAAAAAGAACAACAGGACCCCCCCCCATATTCTTAATCTTTTCTCACTAAATTATATTCCACTTAAAAAATAAAATGGTCATACCATGTACATTTTTCTACAGTTTGCATTGACATATTTTCCTTTCCTTTCTATATGTCCTCTCTTCCTTCTTTCCTTCCTCCATCCCTCCATTCCTCTCCCCATCTTTTCACTTTAGTGAAAATACTTTGTCCATCCTTGGTAGCATATGTTGGCATTTCTGCTAGATATAGTCCTAGAAGTAGAATTGTTATGTCTGAGGGATGCTTCTAGCAGTACCTCCAAAGATGGCACCAATTCATACTCAAATGCCCATTTATTGAACCATACTCCCTTTTGAAGTGAAGTGAATTGAAATTGTTTTGGACATTAATTTTAGAGAAAGCCTCTCCCCCACCCCCTGCACCACTTTCTGTTACTGAATCTTCCAGATTGGGGAATGTTCTTTTCTCCATTTATTCATGACTTTTAAAATGCCCTTTGTAGTATCTGTGTATATTCTGCATATTTCTTAACTTTATTTCTAAGTGTTTTAGTTGGGTTTTTATTTTTCCATTTTTACTGAGATATTTTATTACATAAATTAACTTTTTATTGATTAGATGAAAGCATTTAGTTTATGTATATTACAAGTATATAGTGTGTATGCATTTAATTAGGCAATCAGAATGATAATGTATATACACATTTTTTTATATTAAATCTGTTACCTACCACATTCCCAAAGTGTTTTACCATTTCTAATGGTTTTCAGTTGATTTTCTTGGGCAATAGTATATGTTGGTTGACAACAGGGTTCTAAGCCTCTCTGGGTTCAAGTTTTACCACTCCACTTAAAAGCTTTGTTAAGCTTGGGTGCAAATGGCTTTTCACCTATCAAGTGGGAATAATAACTTCTCATAGACGTTTTACAAGGATCAATGAGATGTAGAACAGTGTTTGGCACATAAGTGATGCCAGCAAATATTTACAAAAAAGTTGGTCTCCACACATTATCAGGCTCTTTTGATACTCCCTACTCTAAAGCAAAGGAATTAAGGCCCATAGAGGTCAAAAGACTGAATGTATTATGATCTTTTTTTTGCTTAACAATCCTTCAACCTCTTCTATGCATAGAGTGCCGGTGGGAGAGCGATATCAAAGTCACATTGAATCTGCTAAGAAGGGATTTGAAAGTCCTGTTGGGGCAAAAGTCAGGGGTCATAAATTCAGTCACACATGAGCTCTGAGACTTGTCCTGTGTTTTAGTTTCCTGCTTTAGATTTTCTAGTATCTTTGAGAGTTGCTAATTTGGTCAGAAGAAAGAGATTCAAGGGTCTAGCACACTCTAGGATATGTAGTGGCGCTTAGTAAGTGATGAGTATAAATATATACATTCAGTCCTCCCTATCTTAGGTTCCATATCTGTCGATTCAACCAATTGTGGATCAAAAATATTAAAAAAAAAAAAGAATTGCATGTGTACCAAACATGTATAGACCTATTTTTATTGTCATTATTACCTGAAAAATACAATATAATTACTATTAGCATTCACATTTTATTATGTGATGATTTCAAGTATACAGGAGGATGAGTATAGATAATATACAAATACTGTGCCATTTTATATTAGGGATGCTGACATCTTCAGATTTGGATATGGGGTAGGAGGTTCTAGAACCAAACCTCCATGGATTCTGAGCCACAGGTGTGTGATCTCAAGTAGAACATAACAAATAAATGCCTGAGGGGAAGGGATTTATGTAAAGAGCCCCAAACGTGGGAACACAAGAGCTCATTTCTGGATGTGGAACATCATGGTTGGCTTTCAGAAGAGGTGCCTTTTGATTTGATTTTTCATGGTTGAGTCAGCATGTGTGAAGGGAATGAATGGTGCTGGAAAGATTGGTAGAACTGGACTGTGAGGAGTCTCGTCAAAGAATTTGGACTTCATCCCACAGTCATTGGAGAATCATTGAACAGTTATACACAAAAGAGTGCCATGTTCTGACCTGGGCTTCAGAGTATCAGAGGGTAATGTAAAATCTTACCATCATTTGCACAGTGTCTGGTGTCTGACGAAGGGCAATGTTTGCCAGTCTCTTTTTATCTAATGTCTCCTTAATGAGATATTTTTTATTTTCTTATTTCACAGAGAGACAAAATAAGCTCAGGGAAAGAAATGACTTCTTCATACAAATTAGTCTAATTAAGATTATGGGAACCAGAATTGGACACAGATTTTGTTTTACTTCTAATCTGTCCCTCAGGCTGTTGGTTAGAGCCTACTTATAGAAGCTTGTTGAAATCAACTGGCTGGAGGTGATGAGGAATAGCCAGGGTGTGGCAATGAGGCAGACCTGGGAAGGAGGATAAAGAAAGGCATAATAAAAAAGAACATGGAGGTGGAATTGGGAAGCGACTGGAGGGAAGGTGTAGTCAGAACTTGCCAGTCTCTTAGACCCAGGTGGTTGGTTGAGACGCAGGTGGTGTCATGAAGGAGGGAGGGTTTGAGAAATGTGGACAGTTTTCAGGTGCTTATCTTCTGACACCTAGCTGGTGTTCTGCTAGGTACCGTTATGGCTCCTTCAGTTTAGTTTTCAGGAGCTGCCATAAAATGTGACTGTCTTTGTCGTTCCATTTATTCAGGCAGGCCCTAGTTCATGTGTATTTCCCAGAGCCTTTGTCCTTTACTGTTTTCCTTGGGTTCTACACCCTAGACATGGCAATAGGCAGAATCCAGTTTAGGGAATGGTTGTGTTTAAAGGTGCACTTTCAAGGAATAGATAAGAGCTTAGTAAGTGATATTCCATAGAATTGGTACAGTTGCTACTGGGCCAACTTACAGATGCATTCAATCCACAGTATCACTGGTGATCATGTAGACACAGCCTCTTCTGTACTACCCCTATAAGTGGGAGGTGAGCAAAGAACTTTCTCCCCAAACTACCAGTGGAAAAAATCCTATGTTTTTATGTCTGTTCCTCTAAGGCCAGCTGTCATAGAACTAGATCAGCAAAGTAAACGAAATGAGAGGTGATTGTGGACACCACACCCCACTGTGCAGCAATTGTTTAAATCTTTTAAGAAAATGTTTTAAAAGGCAAACAAGAACATACTCTTTAATGCTTACATGACTCATGGGTTTTGTCAAACCAGTCATGCAATCATTGAATGAAGGATGAAATCCCAGTTCCTATGGTCCAAGATGGGTGTGCTAGGTACATTGTTATTCAAAATATTCTCTGCTTCTCCCTGGAGATATGTTATGTTTCTGATCGTTGACTTCAGGCCTTTGCTATCCTCTTCTGCGGAAAATTACGCAAAGCTGCTCTATTGAATTGGAGAGTAATTAGGTGACTTGATCAGGCCAGTGGAATGTGAGTGGAAATGATGTATGTCACTCTTCAATCCACAGTATCACTGGTGATCATGTAGACACAGCCTCTTCTGTACTAGCTTTGAAAGTAACTTGTAGATTCACAGGACAGAGGCACAATTGGGTGAATAACGTGAGCAAGAATTAAACCTTGGATCTTAAATAACAGAAACAAAAAAAAAGAAAGAAAAAACAATATATTGTGTAGGGGTTGTAGGAATTGAAAAAGAGTTTTTCCCTCTTTATTCTTAATCAATGTGAGCAGATAAATCTATTTGTTAGATAGTTTGCTTCTGAAATGGATGGATGTTCTCTCTCTCTTTTTCCCTCTCTCTCTCTCCCAGTCTCTCTTGATATCTCTCTCTCTGCTCATGTATACACCTAAAAAAAATTTGAAGTAATTAATATGTACTCTAGGACTAGACTATATTTAAGAATCAATAGTAAGATAAGACTAACGATAAGTGATATATGTAAGATAATATGGTACTAATAATATAAGTAATATAACCACACTATCATGTGTTTTTAAAATTTCTTCTTTATTTAAAATAAGATATTTGTTGTTTCTTGCAGTCACAGGTACCTTAACTGTTTCTTTTGTCACATCTTTAAAAACACAAAATGAAAAGAACCACCATGGTTCTTATAATCCAGATGATTTTGTAATCACTGTTGAATCCCTTTCTGACTCATACCGTGTACAATGATGGGGGCGGTCTGGGTCTTATGCCCTGTGAACATATTAGATATTTCTCTGAGCAGATTGCTAGATTCTTTATTTTCTTCTTGGGGACTATAAATTGGCCTGTTGCTTTTTAGGCGGTTTGTTGTTGTTGTTGTTTTAACTTCCCTGGTTCTGTGGGGAGGATTGAATCTCCCTGCCCCATTGCTCTGGCCAGCGGATTTGAAGAGTGGACTTGATTTGTCTCACATTTAAAGCAAGGTTGTAAATATATCTGCATGTTTTGATGTGGCCTCAGCTTCTATCCAGTGTAGGAGCATGGATCTGCACTTTGATCCAGAAGGAGAAGCAGGTCAAATGATCTGCTTCCTGCTTCTGTTCTGGTCCTGAATGCAGCTGGGCCACATCTATTCACAGAATGTGCGAAAGAAATGCATGTCATTATTGTAAGTTATGAAGATTTGGGGCTCATTGGGACCCTGGGGCCTCTGAACTGAATCCCTCCCCTCCCTGGTTGTTAGTGAAATAGCAGTCACCTAGCCACAGTTTTTAAGTAAGGAACTTTGTGAGATGTTAATGATTTTTATTGCCCTTAGTTGGGAAAATTGCCTGGGATTAAAGGTCTTCTTTATGTCAATCTAGGTGCTCCCATTTCTGCCCTACCTGCCTTATCATTGTAAGCACATAGCACTTACTGTGTACCAGGCATTTTCTAAATTGCCTTCCCGATCTTGTTGGCTCTGTTTAGTTCTGTCCTTTATATGGGTCCTCCCTTGACTAATAGTAAGGGCAGTCAGATTAGTGTGAGCAGGAAGCCACCTAAATGTCCCTGCTCCCAGGGCCACTGTACCAGGAGCATGAGTTCAGCTCAGTTCTAGTATTTAGGGCCCACTAGTTATGATGTAAAACTGGTGAGGTCACTGTGAAACCCAGCCCCATGATTCATTAACTCCATTGACCTGAGCAGATCACAGAAACAACCAGTCTGTAGCTCCCTGGAAGTTCACAAACCAAGAAGCCTGGGGTTACATACTGTCCAAACTTCTCCTCCCTTCTTTCTCTGAGTACTCTCCAGGTCTCTTACTTGTACTGGAATAGTCTGTCTCACCTCTGGGGTCCCTCAGAGTATCATCCATTTCTGTCACTGAAACCAGATTTGTCTCTCTGCTGCCTTGAATTATGTCACTATACTATAAAGAGATGTTTGGTATTCTATAGGACTGTAGAAGTCTGGGCAGGGTAGCAGCTGTAGTAAACAAGTCCAAACATCATCAGCGAGTGGACACAATGGTCTGTGTATTTCTCACAACACAGACCACTCATTTGGGAGGGTATGGGTTGATGGGTAGTGAGAAGGATCCAGGCATTCACTATCTGGTGACTCCACCCTTCTCTAGATCCCCAGAGGCTCTCCACTTGGATGGCAGGTTAGAATGGAGAAAGCAGAAAGGGCACATCTCCCCGTCACGTTGGCCCAGGTGTCACACCTGTCACTCTGTTTACACTTTATTGGCAAGTGCTAGTCACATGACTCTGCCTGGAAGGAGGCAGGTTAGGAAATGAGTTTTCTGTATGCCAGAGAAGGGGAGAGGATGGATATGGGAGCACGGGCAGACTGCACCACCACAATCTCATGTGAGACCCGGACAATTCTTCCTTCATAGTAACTTGCAAGCTGGTCCATTTTCTTCCAAGTATGTCCAAATTTTAGCATACTTCTAAGACAAGACATTTATATTCAAGTCTACAGACATCACCTAGTATTGCATTTACCTTACTGGTTTTATAATGGCTTTTAATACTGTTGTTTGGTACCCATCTGTTTTCTATCAGAACATTAGACCTCAGTAATCCTAAAATATTGCTTGAGTTTGAACACTACTAACCTGTTTAATATTCACCATATTATTATTCCTTGCATATTGGAAGTACTTTCTCCCACTGGTTCTGATGATAGTTCTATAAAAATAAAATAGAACAATCAGGACTAAATGAATATGCATTTTGAAGTATAGTTACATGAGATTAGAGAAATATGAATGGAAGATGATATTAAATAACACAGAATTATAAATATTTCTTTTTAGAAAATCCTAAATATTGCTTTTCTTGTTTGAAGTATGCAGAAAAGACACTTTTCATAAATTACTGTATATAGTTGATAAACAAGTACTTACTGTGTGCTTATGCTGCACCTTGCTCTAAATGTGTGCATTTTTTCTATATCAAGCCTTGTCTTTTATGTGTGTCTGTTTTAACATTTGTGTCTATATAGCTGTTGAATAGAAATAATGATCTCACCAGCCTAGCTGGTGATTTTCTAGCACATTGTAAACCTGACCTAAGCATCTTTGGGCATGGAGACTTGGTTGAATGCACTAAGATAGACCTACTTACGGATGTAATAAGAGTATCCCAGAGAGCACTAGCAGATACAACCAAAGAACAGTTCACTACAGAAAATACTGTAAAGTCTCTAGAAACTACATCGTTTTGAACTCTAATTTCTGGTTGGATATGTTCTGGGTTCAGTCTTTGCATTTTTTTAAAACTTTCTTTACCATTCTCTACTTCCTCCCGCTTTAGGTTTGACTTGCAATGATTCTGGCCTGAATTCCAGGATGATTTGTTCTTGGGACCAGACATGACCAAAAGTTGACCTCATGAGCACACCAACCTCTCCAGCTGCCATGCTCCTCCGGAGGCTGCGGCGACTCTCCTGGGGCAGCACTGCTGTCCAACTCTTCATCCTAACTGTGGTGACATTTGGCCTGCTGGCTCCCCTGGCCTGTCACCGGCTTCTGCACTCTTACTTCTACCTGCGCAATTGGCATCTGAATCAAATGAGCCAAGAGTTCCTGCAGCAAAACTTGAAGGAAGGGGAGGCTGCCCTCCACTATTTTGAGGAGCTGCCCTCTGCCAACGGCTCTGTGCCCATAGTCTGGCAGGCCACCCCTCGCCCCTGGCTTGTGATCACCATCATCACTGTGGACAGGCAGCCTGGCTTCCACTATGTCTTGCAGGTGGTGTCCCAATTTCACCGGCTTCTGCAGCAGTGTGGCCCCCAGTGCGAGGGCCACCAGCTTTTCCTGTGCAATGTGGAGCGCAGTGTGAGCCACTTTGACGCCAAGCTACTTTCCAAGTATGTCCCCGTGGCTAACCGCTATGAGGGCACTGAGGATGATTATGGTGATGACCCTTCCACCAACTCATTTGAGAAAGAGAAGCAGGACTATGTCTATTGCCTGGAGTCATCGCTGCAGACCTACAACCCAGACTACGTCCTGATGGTGGAAGATGATGCTATTCCAGAAGAGCAGATCTTCCCAGTATTGGAACACCTACTGCGGGCCCGGTTCTCTGAGCCACACCTCCGAGATGCTCTGTATCTAAAGCTTTATCACCCTGAGAGGCTCCAGCACTACATCAACCCAGAGCCCATGCGGATCCTGGAGTGGGTTGGTGTGGGCATGCTGCTAGGGCCCTTGCTAACCTGGATATACATGAGGTTTGCCAGCCGTCCAGGGTTTAGCTGGCCTGTCATGCTCTTCTTCTCCCTGTATAGCATGGGGCTGGTAGAGCTGGTAGGCCGGCACTATTTCTTGGAACTGAGGCGCCTGAGTCCCTCCTTGTACAGTGTGGTTCCTGCCTCTCAGTGCTGCACCCCAGCCATGCTCTTCCCTGCCCCTGCAGCCCGTCGGACTCTCACCTACCTGTCCCAGGTGTACTGCCACAAGGGCTTTGGCAAGGACATGGCATTGTACTCACTGTTGAGGGCCAAGGGAGAGCGGGCCTATGTGGTGGAGCCCAACCTTGTGAAACACATTGGGCTCTTCTCCAGCCTCCGGTACAACTTTCATCCCAGTCTGCTCTAGGGTGCCAAGACATGCCTTTCTGAGATTGGCCACTTCCTGGAGATTCACATATTGAGCTCTTTATTTAGACATGGTTGCTTGCAGATATTCCATTGTTTGGTGTTGCTAGGAGGAAAGGCACTGGGTCACCTGAGGAACACACAGAAGTCAAGAGCCTGGGCTCTGGTAACCCATGACAGGAGCAGCACTTTGCTCCAGGTCCAGACCTCTCTCCCTCCACACAGCCACACTGCCTCACGCAGTCCTCCCCACCCAATAAGGGTGTATTTAAATACCATTTATATTCTCCAGTTGTTTGTGAGCTCTGCCCTGTAATAGAGGTTGTGACTGCTAAAAATCTTGTGCACAGTGATAAGTGACTGTTTTAGGATTTAAGGGTAGAGTTTGATGAAAGATGAGATCATTCTGAATGGGTCTCTCTCATTGGTTATGAAAATGAATGTATATTTAGAATCTATGCCCAGAGAGGCAGGACCATGTTGATGTATTCTGATGTTTCCTTGACCTGACATAATAAAAACCTGATAAAAGCCATGTAGTTCCTGGCATCTTGGAGGCAGGTGATCTGACTTTTTTGTGACCTAGATTTTCTTTTCCCATATGTATGTAAATGCACCAATTGTCAATATTGTTAGTGAGGAATTTAAGGCACAGTAAAATCTAGAAGAACTTTCTGAATCATAACAGTCCAATTGCTTATGCTTATAATGATTTAATACTGAATATTTCTGTCATAGTCTGGTTATTTGGCAGTTGGACATTTCAGGAGGATGCCAAATAGGTGAGCTGTGTACTAATAGCATATTCATTTCCCTAACTTTGCTGGCTAACAGTTCACCCTCATTTTTTTTCCTTCTGATAGCATGATGATAGAAGAAAGGGCAGGTACTAATTAGATGACCCAGACTTTTATTTCAGATCTCTTCAATGCCCAAATGATATGACCTTGACATGTTATATAACCACTCTACATGTCCATTTCTTCATCTGTAAAATGAGGACAGTAGTACCTGTATTTTAAAGTTACCCTGAGGATTAAATGACAATGTATTTAGAACACCTAGCAAATGCTTAGCCCACAAGGGATGCTTGGCAGGTGTTCTTTTCTCTCTCTTATAATAAGCATGTAGATCCCCAGTGTATTTTGGATAAAGATATTAGTGATGTTTTTTAAAGGGTGACATGGACCAGATACTTGCATAGCACCTGGTCCAGACCAAATACTGCTAGGAAAAAAAAAAAGCCTGGCTTTTTATTGTGGCTTTAAAAGGTTGGACAGCTCGGCTATCATTGATCCCTACCTACCTCCAATAAGCCAAAAATAAGAATTGTTCATTCACACTGGAAATGAACTGAGATACCTATTTAACTTATTTCATGATTAGCATCTAAAAATTAATTTTCTCAAAGGTTACAAATAAATGTCCTTTGACAATACTTCTCAAACTAGTGGCCAGCAAATCCCTTTATGGGAGTGGACAATAATATCATACATTTCAAGCAGTTGTGTAGTTTGTTTCAATGCTTGTAAAGTTCCCAAATGAGCTACCTCCTTGAAATCTACTCCAGAACAGTGGGAGAATGTAGGGATTGGTCACCCATGCTCTACAGATGAACACAAGACCCAGAGATGTTAAGCAGTTTCACTAATAACAGCATTCAGGATGGGAATGTAGCTCTTCTGACTTCCAGCCCCTGTACTTTTAATTTTATGTGGTGAAACTCCCTTGTAAAATCCAGTTGTAACCTAGACTAAATAATGTCTGAGAAGTAAGCTAGAAATCCCATTTTTATGTTAGTCTTAGGAAGAAAATAGATTTAAGTAAGTGTTCTGTTATTGTAGTGAGCTGTTATGTATCCCAGCAATGTCCGAAGTGATCAGAGCTTCTAGATGACTTATTATGATGTCCATATTCTGCTCCATCATTCCTTCTCCCCCAGTAACTGGTGTGCCCTCAGGTTTTAGAACTGAACCACCTCCGGATTGGAATTCTCCACATGGAAAGTTTGTGAATATTGACAAGAGTCAGTACACTAACCAGGCCCAAGATGGTAAATCACTGCTGCCTTACATTTCTGCTCTTCCTAATTCAGCTGTCCACTACATGTAAATATCCCTCCTCATGTCTTCCATTTTGGGTGGTTCAGACCATCCTTGTCCACTTTCTCTGCCTACACCCAAGACGCTTTCTCCCATTTATCTTAACCAAGGTCTGCCATCTTTGGCTCAGTTCTGCCCTTTTATCCTCATCTACTTTAGACCCTCCTCCATTTTATTCCTTATTTCTAGAATCTAACTTTTATCATCCTCTATTCAGGCATCTGGTAGCTTTATACCAAAGCTGTCATTTTAAGTCCTGAGCAAGAGGCTGCAGGAGAACTGAAATAGCATTCCCATACCAGGAACATAGGTTACCATGATGGTGGAGGTCTCTGACAATCTCACTTAACATTTCAGAGTTTACATTATAGTCAGGCCTAAGAAGCTCCCTGTTGTGACTGTATTTGCATCAACATGCCAGTTAAAATAAAAGCACCCATTCTGCTGAGGTTTCCTAAGAAGACTTCTGTCATTCTCTTTTCTATGGATAGATTTTTCTGATGGGGCAAATAGTAACTCCCCACACACATACACATAATTGTAGAGTCCTAAGGTAGCCATCAAAAGTACAGGATGCTGGCTGGCTGCCTATACTCCTTGCTCAAGGAGAATCTTGGTTCCAGACCACTCTGAACAACAACAACAACTAATTGTGAGACCCCATTTCAGCTGATAAAAAAGCTCAGTGTGGCCTATCCTGGCCTCAGCAGAAAGCATGAAAAAGAAGAATAGTGGTCCAGGCTGGCCTGCACTAAAAGTGAAACCCTATCTCCAAAATAATCAGAGCAAAAGGAACTAGCAGCATGGCTCAAACAGTAGAGCCTCCGTCTAGCAAGTGCAAAGTCCTGAGTTCAAACTCCAGGACTGCCCCCCCCCCCGCAACAAAATACTGACTGTACAAGCAACCACTGTATGCCAGGGCTTACATATTTTTCTGGATATAAACAAAATGGGGACCACCAAACCATCTTACTAACAAAAACTTCGTACTTTGTGGTGATCCATTCCTTCACTCTCTTACCTGCCTCTTAGCTTAAAAGTCCTAAATAGGTTGTGAGGCCCTCACAAGTGGTGTTTGTGTGGAGCACCAGGAAGATAGATGTGGCCATCACCTGTAGTCCAAAAGAGAAATCTTAGCCTTCCCATGAGTGAAACACAGGACCCCCAAAACACTGAAGATAAAATCATAGCAGCAAAGGGAAAAGTAGCCATGTTTGGTGCTGTGAAAGTTCCTCTCTGCACATCTCACTCCGTCTGCATGGAATGTGTATAAAAAACTTCCAAAACAGTATACCATTACCAGCTCTACCACCTGAGCCTCACTCTTCATTCTTCCTAATTTTCTCCGTTAGTCTCATTTCTGTTTCTCAAATTTCTTTTTTTTCTAGGCAGTGTCACTTGGGTCCCTTCACCTTTTTCTCATGCATTCATCCACAGCCTCTTAGGAGTCAGGTACTGTTCTAAGGTGTTGGGGAGGAGCTGTGAAAGAAACAGAAGACCCCTGACACTGGAGCTTATGTTCTGTGGGAGAAAATGGAGGGGAAAAAACAAAACAGCAAAGGAATTTTAAACAATGATAAGAGCTTTGAAGGAAGTGGCACAAATGCACCTGGGAGCAGGGCCAGGGATTGCTACTTTAGATAGGATGGAAACTCTCGCAGGGGAGATTAAAATTGAAGTTAGGCCTGAATTGTATGGTAAGATTCAGCCAAAGGAAAAACATTACAGATGGTACAAAGGCCTTATAATAAGAACCAAAGTATCAAGTCCAAGGAAGTGAAAGGAATCCAATTTGGCTGGAATTTGAAGTGTGAGGGGCTGTGGTAAGACAAGTCAATGTGCAGAGCTCAGATCACATTAGGCCTGGGTGATGTTGAAGGTAGTTGAATTTTATTCTGAATGCATTGGGAAGCCAAGTTCCAGAAAGTTAATGAATTATTTTTGTAGAATATTGATGACATTGTTTAGTTCCTTTGCACTCCATAGGCTGATTATGTAAAGATTTCATAACAGTCGGTCATACCTAAGAGACATGAAGAGTGTGATACATGAGAATAGGTGACAAGTGTGGAGACTCTTAGCATCACTGGACATCTTTGCCTTCTTCCCCCACCTTTCTGACAGCTTTTAGCTACCCCATTCCTAATATTTATGCCATCTGTTCTTGGTTTTTTTGTTTTTGAAAAATTCATCACTTGCCTATGGATTTTCATCTGTATTTTTTTTATCCAAAGGTGCTTTTTTCTTTTTTAGTCAGTTAATTTTCCCATATTTGTCTGTTTGTTGCTAGGAAAAGAGCAGGAAAATTTGTCAAATTCTAAGCAAAATAATTCCATTCACTGCAGAGTAATGATACACAGCAATGCTGCAGGCCAGTTCCCAGGGTAACATGTAAGCCCTAACACATCCCCATCGCCGTTCTTAATATACGAAGTACGTTTTTCTGCCTTCATTTATACTAAATTTTCAACTATCATTGATAAAGTTCCAAAGGTTTTCCAAACACTATTCAGCCCAGAAAATAGTTCAATTAATGAGCATTTCTCAGCAAATTCCATTGTCTTAGGGATAAAAATATCCGATTGTTCTATGGCTTAAAGTCATCCAATTTTATATCATGTGGTGCTGTAACTCACAGCACAGCAGCATAGCGTAATAAAAGTCCCACAGTGATCAATTCCACTTAAAAATGCCTCTACATCCCAGTTAGGTTACCAATTAAATAAATCCTCCGAAGTGAGGAGTACATCTAAGGTAAATTATATTGAGCTGGTCAAATTTGTATTCTTTGGTTGTCCCTGTAGTATTCCCACCATCTTCTTTTAAATAACAACAAAAAGAGTGTGCATTTTAAATATTTCTATTTAAGAGACAGCAAAATTAGTTATCAATTTTGAAGCAAACTACTATATCTAATTCCCCTTTTATGTGTGTATTTTTTTCTTCAAACTTCAGCTGCTATTTGAATCCCCCTAAAAAGAAATACACAGAATCAGGGGTTTCCATGTTTTTCCTATTGGCATGTTATTCACAAAGATGGGATCCCTTTTTTATAGTTTTTAACCTGAAGCAGGGCAAGACAATGCTGATAGGTCTATTTTCAAGTCGTCTAGTCTATGTGG